CCCCCCCCCCCCCTCTCTCTCTCTCTCTCTCTCTCTCTCTCTCTCTCTCTCTCTCTCTCTCTCTCTCTCTCTCTCTCTCTCAGTTTGTGTGTTTGTGATCATTATATCTTGTTAATCACTATTACAGAAGCATATAAAAGAAATGAAAGGACCTTTTTTTACCAAAATAAAGTACCACACTGTAATATTGACTTAAGGCATTGATATTTTCACATCAGCCAGTCAATACAAGATCATTTTATTTTCTCAGAGGAACTATAGTTAGGGTAAATCACAAAATATGCCAATTACAGGAATTGAGTGTTTCTTTCTATTTCTAGATATAATTGACAAGAATTGCACTGCTGGGATCAAAGACTACTTTAAAACACTCGGTAAGATAAATAATTGCCTATAAGAACTCTGTGTAAATTAACAACATTGTCATGTAAATCCCTCTTTTTGTTCAAATTTTTCAGTGAATCTACATACTGTCATGTTTTTTTATTTTCATAAATGAGTGGAAATTCATGTTGGTTGAAACCCTCATTTGTGATTCTATTTTTTTATATATTTATTCTTTTGAGACCAAAATTGTCACAAGTTGTATGTTTATGTTTGAAGTGCGCATGCTTTGATATACTAAATAAAGCTAGAATTAACTATGATCAGATTGATTGGAAATATTATTTTAAAGAAAAAAATGTTTTTCAGTTACTTCTAGTATTTAGTACACCATATACATTTTGCTTCATTTTAGCTTTCAGTTGTGTCCAAATTAAGTGTACGATTTTGTCATGACATTAAAAAGAGAAATTATTCATAAGTCATATTGTTCTGAACTTTCTGTTCTTTGCCCACAAACAGTCCAGTGTCTGAGGGAAGAATCAGAAAGGCCCGGTGCACCGTTTAACATAGAACCTACGCCATCCAAGAAGAGAGTGAGGCGGCGGCGACGTGCGCACAGTCGAGCCTCAGAGGTCCCTGCAGCGACATCTACAGTTGAGACCAATCACATCACAGTTCCAAGTCCTGTATCAGGTAAGTGATGCTGTAGCTCAAGTGCAATTAAAAAAGATGGTTCCTGTGTGTGAGATGATGAATTTGGTTAAGGTGTGGCTCTTTAGTAGGCATATATTCTTGTTTTGAGTGCTGTCTGTTATGTGAACACTGATCCTGTGTTAAATACCAGTAAAATTGTGTAAATTTGTTTTGTTGCTGGCCATATCTTCTGTGTTGGCCCGGAAGATTCATAGACCCTGATGGTCACTAGGTTATAATACAAGTTTTTGGCACGTTTTCATTTTAAAGAAATCTTAGTCACTGTACCATATTGTGGGCTAATATATTGATTATTGCCTGCTGTTAATAATATGTACATGTGATGCTTAATTCTCAGCTGCTGGTAAGGCATAAATTCAGGTTTCAAGTATTCTTCATCATTACCATTCAGTTATGATAATCTTGTTTAATAAAGACTTAGACCCTGGTTTGAAAATAATATAACCAGATATCAGGTTGCTCAGTTAAGTCACAGTGAACTGTGTTTCACGTTCAATGTGGTGAGTTTAAGACTGGGTTCCCATGCCTAGATCGATCTAACTGGATCGACCCATCTCCAAGGGGTTTCTAAATTGCTTTTAGCTTAAGCCGCTTAGATATCTGGTGCGCCTACTGAAGCCACTAAACATTAGTTAATAACCCTTTAACAGCTTCAGTGGACGTGTGAGACATTTAATCTGCTTAAGTTGATAACAATTTAGCGAGAATCCCCTTGGAGGTAGATCGATCCAAAATCAGCACTGTAGGCTCTGGGAATGGTCTCTTAAACACAGCCAAAATTTGTACATGTATGTTTCTCTATATGTCTCTTTTATCTGATAAAGCATTTCATGTTAAGTAAGAATTTACTTACTGTCAGTTTGACTTATTTAAGTAGAACCTAGCCCAGGTGCAAACATGTATTAGTTTGCTTTTTACTGCTTTTATTTATCTGAGATAGCTTATCACGCTTGGTAAAATTTGCGTGCAGTTAGATTATTCCAGGGTTTACTGCTAGTCATAAGATTTACAATTGGATATTTTGAACACGTCACCATTTAAGATATAACGTGATATGGATAGATATCTCTTCACTGAGGTTAAGAGATTGAAAGCCTTGATATAGCATTTACTGGTGTATTGATTATTAGCAAAGGAAACTTTCACTGAGGAGGGAGGTGGCCAATTGATGGTTACAAGAAGATGGTTTCCTTCCATCAACTTCCAGTCTGAAGGGAAACAGGACTTGAATTGATATTGTTGTTTAAACTATGGAGAATCACAGTGGTTTGATATATTTATACTATCCAATTTGTACTAGATTTATTGAATTGTTTTTTGATGTATTTTACTTGTTAGTTATCAATCTAAAATATATAGTTTGGTTGTCAGGGAGTGGTTTTTGCTTTGATGTTCAAAGAGATGTGACATTGTTTGACTTTGATCTACAAACAGTAGTGAGTTAAGATAATTTTACACTATATTAAAACAAGATTGATAAATTGTAATATTATCCAAAACATATACTGTCTCAACTCTCGTAAAATCAAGTGAGATATTGCAGGATTTGAAAGGGGGGGGGGGGGGTGTCAGAACAAATGTCAGACTAGGGATATAATTCATAATAAATTAGGAAATAAATAAACACAGTCAGAAATGAATGAAAGCTGACAATTTATCCATGGTGGATATACAATATTATGGCATATTATGTTTGTTTTCTCTCAAGTTCTCTTGAATAACAACACTACAAATTCTTAATGTTTTGCATGTCACTTATGTATTGCTTTCTAACTACATTCCCAGTATAGTAAATAGAATTTCACCTTCATCACTGAAAAGTTTTATACAGATTTTCAGACTATATCAAGTTGCGTATGCATCACAGTGTTGACAGCTTCATTTTAGGCTACCAAGGATGATTTCCTTTAATGGAGTTATTTTATTTATTTATTTATTATTTTTTTTTATTTTTGCTGATGTTGATCAGTTTTTAAGCCCATAAACAATGTATATGTAAATATAAATTTTACCAGTTAATTATCTTGTTCCAGCTCCAGGGACAGACCTGGACAAGTTCATGAAGACAGATGTGGAGTCCATGGTCAAGTTACTGGCTGTGGTGTAAGTACATTATGGCATCTGTACTCTTAATACAAGCAAAACCATTTGGTCAAATTTCTGAAACTGTTTTTTATAAGAGAATTACAAGTTGAGAATTCTGAAAGCATGATTTTGGTTGAAATTGTTAAATATTGGATAAAGGGATGGTGGTAGTTGATATACGACAAAATATGATACCATACTATACCATGCCATACCATACCATAAATCAAATGTGGTACACATCATAACTGTGTATTACAGGTTATCAGTACTGTTGCTGTTCAATGCCATGTTATTCTACAAGATGTGGACTCTAGAGGGGGTGGCCTCCAACCTGTATATTGGGGACACGGAGGAAGAGCTGGCACACCTCAGGTAGGCATAGAGATTTTTTTTCTGACTTTAGTGGTGCAACTCTGGAAATTAGCACCAGTGGAAATTGCAGAATATTTAATTTTATAGTATGTTGCCACATGAGCTAAAAGGTTGATTTTAAAAAACTCAGTGGTGCTCCCTTCCCTTGTGCAGAGCAGGTGCCCTACCTACAGTGTGTAACATGTGACACTTTGTTTTGCAGTTACCCATATTTAGTTGCTTTTTCATTGTTCTATATATTACACTTATTTAACAAAGACATTTTTTCACAATCTAGCAGTTATCCGAAGTCACAAGAACAGTGGGTGAAACTGTTACGTCAGCAACAGCACTTACATGACGCGGAGATAGACAAATGGAAGTCCATACTGGACACGTCTGTCTTATTACTGGGAGAGGTGAGCTACAGTATCATACCTGAAGTTGGTTTACACACACTTAGGCACACACACACATGCACACACACACACACACACACGGGCACACACACGTTGACACAAGGTGAGTCACAAGTTGGTGCAGTTCTGCTGACATAACTAAGTACCCTTCTTTCTCGTCAAACAGTGCTTAATTATAATTGTGTCCAACTCTGCAGCTAAACTTGTGTGGTTGTGGAGTTACTCATAGAAGTTTTCTAGTGTACAGTTTTTATTTTCATGAAAGGACAAAAGTATTTTATATCTTCAATAATGTCATGAGATGTAAGTAACAAAAAACATTTTAAAATCAACCTTTAAATCTTGAACTATTTTCATTTTGATTGATAAACACAATCACTGGAACAATGTGCAGTTCAAAAAGATTCTCAGAATGACCTTTTTTTTCTCCTCATAGATGAAAAGCAACTTAGAAGTCCTGCAGCAGAGCCTATCAGCAAGGTACAGTTCCAAAGTGGATCAGCCAGCATGAGATGTCTTTTCCTATTGAATAGTTGAGCAAAAGGTGATCAAAGCGAACCAATAGTATTTGTCGTCTCGGCACATGCATGGATCTCAAGTGGCTGGACCAAAATTGGGTCCCATGCAAGCAACCTTAAAAATACAGCAAGTTCTGAAGAAAATTTTGAAGACCTTACACCATATAGATGAAAAATAGGAACCATTAGCCTCTTTTCTAACACTGGCACCGTTTTCACGTTTAGATAGTAATGTCAACACCTAAAAGGAAAAGGAAAATAGACATGTTTGATCTCCTAATGCACTGAAGGTGGAAGGATTTAAAGTGATGTTAAACATCATTCCTCATACCGGTATGTGTAAAGCTTCAGTGCCCCATGAAGTGTTCAAGTGATGTTTGTGATGTCCCATATCAAGAAGTTCAGTTTTTGAGGATGAGATATTTACTCATATTATAAGATAGGAAATGCAAAATGTGCCGCATTGGCCCTGACATGGGGATGTGGGGGAAAAAGTGAACGAATGAAGAGTAGTGAAAATGAGTATAAAAACTGTGCATTAGTCTCTTATTTATTGAATACTATAATATAAAGAGTCATTGTGATATAGCACCTGATATAAAACGATCAAGTTTAAATGTGTTAGTGTAATGTACAATGCACTGTTCCCAGTTGTTGTCAATGACATTAATGAGTAGGTAGACTGGGATTTGAAGGGCATTATTTCCAATGTCCAAGTTAAAAAAAGTCCTGCCAGCAGGAGCGACAAAGGGCTGATAAGGATATTTTTTCAGCTAATAAGCTTCAAGAAATCCATTCTCTGTCAGCATCCCTAGTAGATGGGTTACTTGTACTGCAATTTATCTATTGCCTGAAAGGAAAGGTCTTGTTAGTTCTAGATTTATTGTGTTATAAAAAAACTTACATTATTGGCTTGAAATGGGATTTATTAATCCAGCTAGCATCATTGTGATGTAAACTGATAGTTTACCATGTGTAGCTGAGGAGGATGCCACATATAAGAAATACTAAGGAAAAGGAAAAGAAAAAAGTTCAAATCCTGCCTAAAAATAGTCCTATGTCCATCAGGAGGAGGCTTGTGTCTTAATATACTAGAAATCACAAGACGTCCAAGCTTGTTGAGGTGTTATAGATTTGAATATAGAATCTTACATAGATCCAAAGATGTAATGGCATGATTATTCAGCCAAGTGAAGTAATTGTCTGAAACATCTGAAGTTAATGCTTTCGGTCCACTCTGAAGAAAATTTTGATCTGGGCTCTATGAGTAGAAAAAGAACCCCACTTGGAAACTGTTGGCTACACTACAGTACTGTCAGCTATGCATCTTGAGATGTTTGTAAGGTACCTGTCCATTAGTCTTGCAAATATAAACCTGTATAATCATGCTGTCTTTAATGAGCATGAAGTTAAGGAATAGGCAGGGCATTCTACTCAACATGCTAATTAAGATGTCTCTCTTTCTTTCTGTCTCAGAATGTCTAAAATTTAGATATTTGCAGTCAAACTTGATGAACTTGATTTTTTTTTTTTTTTTTTTGTGATCTCGAGCCCTTTGCCATGTCATCTTCTATTTGATGTTTATATTAATAAGAAGAATTGTAGCTGGCCAAAACTGTAGAATGTCAATAAGATGTGGAAACTTGAACTGTCCAGGCAGGTTATAAGCAAATCGCACCAAAATTAAAATAAAAGTTGGTATATATAGGATACATTACTTTTCTTTCAGATTCTCTTCAAAATGACATGCCCACCACAATTGTTAAATGAAAACATCTTGTAAACATATAAACAATGTGGCACAATCATAAGTATGAAAATCAGTATTGAGATAACATGAAGATATATGTAGATAATCATAAAGATATGTTATATACTGTTTATGTAGTTGGCAATTGCTGAATAGAATATTCCATTTAAAATGTATTATATTATTAAATTGTACTCTTACAGAGGGATGCATGACAAAATGCTGGTTTTATGTTGGATAAGAACTGAAGTTTTTTCTCGAGTATGATTTCCAACCTTTTGCTGCAGTTGAGCTGTCATTCAGAAGACAAAGAAATTAAAATATTTAACTTGTAAATAGTTCCAATGAAAAAGCGATCAACTTTGTAAAAAAAACGGTAAAGTTTAATTTATTGTAGTTGCATTTTTTTTTCACTATATCAGTATCAACAACCAGTTGCAGAAGGTACAACTTTCAGTGTCTGTTGTTACAGTAGCTCTTATTGGTTGTGAACACGAGATTGTTATAAGGATGAGTGCATGAAAACTGAATGCCATTTCAAAATGGGTCAGACTCAAGAAAATAAAGAAATATTTAATAACTACATTCGTGTCTAGTTCTGTTTTTAAGGGAAAACTTTGTAGTGAAAATGCCTGTAGAGTTGGTTATGATCTTTAGAAATTGATGTTACATCTTAAAATCTAGTTTTACAAGTGTGGATTATGTTGTAACATGTAAAAAAGACATAGTTTGTGAACACTTTTATTATGCACACACACATAATGTCTCAAAAGACATAGCCATTAACTGCTTTTCCCTTGCCATTGGTGTCACCCTGCACTTTACTAGATATTTTGCTCATATTACTTTAATTACTGGTCATTAGTTTAATATTCTTATATTATTTTTACACAACTACTCCTAACTGTACACCCAGCGATACACATCTGATAACCTTTCTAGTTCTGTATCACAAACTTGAAATGAAATGTGCATGCTTCATAATCTCATACACCTTTTACTTTGGCCATTGATGCCAAAGAATTTGGGCCCCCTTTTGAAACCTGCCCCATGCTCTGCCCCACACTGAGAAAAGTCGGACACCCTCGGTTTATAAATTAAATGTCACGGGGTGGGTTTTTACATACACATCCTGCAATCAAACAAAACTCCGACCAGTGTCAGTTTGAGTCCTCTAACAGTCCTTTCTTCAGCCCTTTTCCTGATCATATTATCCATCATCTTTCTAATCTCAGTTATATGAGTTCGTATATGTTCCCTGGGAAAGCCCCAGGTAAACCTGGAGGGCAATTACTCCTACACAGGACGTGAAAAGCACCTTGGCCAGAAGTAGAGTCCATGACCCCAGTCCAACAGCATGGATAAGTATCCTACAATTGATAAAAATACTATATGAATATCTACTGCTGCTATTCCATATCTCTCAAAAGAGACAAATAAATGTAATTCTTCACATGAATGTATCTTTGACCATTGTGGGACAATAACTATTTCATATCCGACTTCTCATTACTTTTGTTACCTGTTTGACAAAAATAAAATCCGAATTTGGAAGACAGTGTTTTTACTCCATCGCCAGTTGGGTTTCACTTTTCTGCCAAAAAAATAACCTGACACTTTCATTAGAATATACTTTAAGTAGATGATACATATGAGATTAAAACCCAAGCTTTACACTTACTCAACAATCAGTGGCTTATAACAACTCAGTGCCAGTAAAAGCATCACCACAGGAACATGAGCTTTGTTGAGATCATTTCTACTGTACAGCCACACCAGAGCAGCAGTGGTAATATGCTGAACCTGGAGAGAAAGGAAGGGAACTTTATGACAATATGGCAACTAAAAGAGCAACAGAAATACATCAGTACTAATATGTGTAAACAGTTCTTTGTGAAGTTTGAATATTTTATAGAGGACTGTATCCACGATAATACAGTGCATGTCAAGAAAAACAGAAATAAGAAAATATCAAATATTTGTTAAAATATATCTTCAGTGTCTACTAGGTATGTAAGAAGAGGTTGAAAAGTAAAGCAACTCCTCTGTGTGTGTGTGTGTGTGTGTGTGTGTGGGGGGGGGGGGGGGGGG